TGGCTACCTGTTGTTCATTCCCACTGCTCACTTCTGATTCTGTGGAGGTCTGCTCCAGCCACTGTAATTTAAATCGATGTGGTTGAAGTGGGCACTGTCTACTGATGAAATGGTGATTGGTGAGAGGCAGAGATGGCTCTAGAGACCATGATGTGGGGAAGAGTTGCCAAGGGGGCACTGTTATTGAGAAATATCTGAAGCCCTTCCATGCCAGAAAACAGGAAACAGGTGGAAGACAAAAGGAATAGAAGTTAGGAAAGGGACTGCTATTGTTCAGTGTAGCAAAGAATTTTGTAACCATAGGTAGTATCCCATTTGTGCAGCAGCAGGAAGTCTCTGCTTTTTAAACAAAAGTTTCTGTATTCTTTGATAGACTTTGATGTGTCTTACTCTTTATGACCTAAAAAGCTTTAATTCTCATATTAACAAGTATAAAAACTGATGTTTTCGTTGCCACAGAGCAAGTTGCGGGTTTTACAGGTTAAAGGGGAATGAGTGTGGCAGCTTGTGCTACCCTGAAGAGAGTTTGCTAATTTCCTGGCGGTGGCAGGCAGAACAGAGACAAAGTTCTCAACATATGAAGGTTTGTTCATTCCTGGGATACACTCAGGCTTGCACAGATAAGCAGATCTGTCTCAACCCACCCTGGGTAATGTCAGCATCTGAGACACAATCTCTGTAAAAGATTGGAGAGGACTCTTAAGTTAGGAAAAGCTAAGAAAGAAAAAGTTTGAGCTTATTTATTATATCGGAAAATTTAGGTGTCTGGCACAGAAACCTAGGGGCTAAAGTCCTCACCTTGCATGTGTCAGGATCCCATATGGGTGTTGAATAGCTCTGCGTCCCATCCAGTATACCTGATGATTTCAGAACACCTGAAAATAGAAGATGTATTAAAAGATATTCGGGATGCAGACATGAAAGAAAACTTATCAATCAGCTTTCACTCAAGGCACCTTTTCACCTACAAAGAAAAGTGCATTCTGAATTTCCCTTACTTCTTATCAACCTAAGAATGCTGCAAAACTGTTTTATGTAGGCTTTAGTTGTTATGCAGAAATTTCAGAATACACAGTTATGCTACCAAACATTTTCTACCACAATTCCTGGGGTGATTCTAGCCCCCAAAATTTATAGGCAAATCATTATTCCTTCTTCGAAGGTTAATCTTGAATTTAGAGCAGAACAGAATAATCTACTGAAGAGCCTTCACTTTTTTACCCTTGAATGTAAATTTCTTGGCTTTCTGTATTAAAGCCACTAAAAAATACGCTGCAAGTTGAAAAAAAAAAACCCAAGGATGAAAAAAAACACACACTTCTATGCTCAATATTAAATGAAATGAACAACTTTAGTTAAAAGATTTAGAGATTCAGGGCTCCTCTGGACTTCATCAAAAACATCTACAATTTTTTTCCAGTAATAAGGTTCAAATGACATATTATAACTTTGTAGTAGTAATTCTTATGAAACATACTTTACCTTTAAGTTTGCAAAATAAAGATTGCAAATGACTCAGATTAAATATTTACAATTCATATAATAGAAATAATATAAATATTAAAGAAGATAAATTAGCCGGTAGGCAAATATATAGACTAATTTTGTATTCAATTGATAATCAAATGAACAATATTACAGGATGTCCCATTTAGTTTTGATTAGAGTTTCCATTTGGAAAAGTAGCAGCTGTTGGTTCATTTGCAGGCATTTGATTGCATGAGCTGATGTGTTTGTTGATCTTTGTATTTTTGTCAGAAAGAAGAAAGACTTTCTTGGGCTCAGAACCACCACTAGAAACTAGCACTCTGCTAAGCAAAACAGAAGGAATGTGATGTCCCCTCATTCCCTTTAAACCCTGAGACAGTCCTGCTGAACACCAGTGAACTAAGAGAAGCCTCTGTGTAATGCAGTCTCCATGAGACTCTGTGTCCAGGTAACTAAATCTGACAGGGTGGGATGTGAGAAGTTCTCCTCCCATCCTCTCTACCAGGGCACCCAGCAAAGTTTCCCTAGAATTCCTAGGGGCTAGTAGAGGCAGCCAGCCCTGGCAGGTGCAGTTGTGTTCTCATGGAAGTCACAGGAAGACAGGCAGTGATGGAAGCTTGGATCTAGAGTGGGAGGAAGATTTTGTTTCTGCAACACAGCACATGTGCTTTTCCATCTGAGAGCTGAAACCCTTGGGAAATGGCTCCCATTCAGACTGTTTCATTATTGGGTAGCTAGTGTTGGCATCTAGCAGAGCAGTTAAAACATTTCATGGGACACACACATCCCATCTTGGATGTTCAGAAGTTCAAGGCCCCTTCTGCCTGGGATTCCAACTGCTTGCTAATGCACACTTGGGGAGGTGGCCGAGGATGGGTCAAGCACTTGAATGTCTACTGTTCTCATGGGAGATCCGGCTGGAGCTTCAGGCTCAGGATCTTGAGGTCATTGGAGGAAAGAGCCAGTGGTTGGAATGTATGTGTGTGTCATCTGTCTCTCTGCCACTCAAGTTATTCTAGGAATTTAAACATCAGATAGCTAAGACTATGACCGATCTCTCCCACATGCCTGGGGATATCACTCAACTCACAGGCACTGCAGTTCTTCTTGTCCCTCTGCCTCATTCCCACTGGTCCTGAAATCTCCACCTTTCAGGCCTGAAGTTACCTCCTTATGTCCTCCCCTCATTCAGTTTCTTTCCTCAAGTCTGGCCCATGCCAGGAGTTCCATGGTTGATCTTTATCCCTTTGTGAAGACACTATCGTCTGTGTTTGTTCAACTCTGACAGAATAAAAAGTGTAATGAACCAATTAATTTTTATTCCCTTTTGAAATTCTTGATTAATAAAAAAAAATCCTCTTTTTACGATTCTCTTTTAAAATATAAAATTACGGTCATAACTGCCAACCCTCATGTGTGAAGTGTCAGTTTCATTTGAGCATCTCTGACAGAGACCATGACCCTGCCCCCACCAAGAACACTTGAATGTAATCTACTTTTATTTTGTGGGGGCGGGGCAGGAGGCCAGGGATGGAACAATAGGTACGGACTGGAAGGTAGGGCCCCCCTCCCGTGGGCATGTGCAGGACGAAAGGGGGGGTGTGGTGGAGGAGGAGGAAGAGGTAGAGACTCCATGGGAGGTGGAGGGCGATGGAGGGCAGGCAGGAGGGCAGTGGGCAGGCAGGCGGAAGAGGACTCCGGCTGCAGGTGCTCAGGTGGCTGCCTCTGCTGTCTGTAATCTACATTTTAAGAGTGGTGTCGTCTTCACCATTTCATGCTGAATCTTCATTTCCCTTCATTCCCTCCCTCTTTTCATGCCGTCTTCCCTTTGAAAAGCTGTGTAGTACAATGGGGGAGGTATAGGAAACATTGTACCAACAAGGCCCACTTCTACCAGTACACCAGGTGATGTTTGCAGAATCATAGAGAGGGATAAGTGTGGAGAATTGCATTGCTTTCTGAATGAGAGACTGGGTTACATAATATAAAGCATTTTAACGTAAATACTGACCGTATTTCTGGGCACGGTGTAGCATGAATTTTACATGCATATTCCACAGGCAACTGCTTTTCTATAAACATGATGGAAGTGAGAGAATCCGGTGTTGTCTTATCTGTGCTTTGCACTGGGTAGTCTCCCAATGGCTGCAACCAAAATAGCTGCAACAAACAAATTGAACTACTTTGCTCTATATCTGGAGAGTTTCATCCAAAGAAAATAGTGCTGGCCACATTTCCTTTCTTCCTCCTCCTCTATCTCCTCCCCCACTTCTTCCCTCCCTCCCTTCTTTCCTTCCTTCCTACCAACCTTCCTTTGTCCCTTCCTTCCATTTGCTTTTTCTTCTCACACTACCCAACTCCCCTCCTTTTTTCTCTCTTTTCCATTCATGTCTGTTCATTGTTTACTTCTCTCTTTATGCTTGCTCTCTTTCATTTTGAAATTAGAATCTTTCCCCGATTGTACACCTCACCATCTCATTAGCTGTGTGCCTCACTGGCCACCAGGGGGAGGTGTGGCCATAGCAAGTTCTGAGGCTGGGCCAGGAAGACTGGAAGGTAGAGGAGCAGGGCCATTGTGGGGAGAAAGGATCTGGCAACTACTTAGCATGAATTTTGGAAACAGCTGAAGACATTTGTGTCTGTTACGTGTTGGTGTTCTGGATGAGTCAACATCTTGTGGGTAGTGGCCAGAGGAGATGCAAAAACAGCCTACAGCGTGCAGGACAACTCCTTGCAACACAGAAATACTCAATGAAGTGAGTTACCTGACGTAGGACTTCGGGACCAGGGCTATGCACTGAGCCATAAATTAGCATGCTCCAGAAAGCATGGTAATGGGGAGATGTGTCAGGATGATAAATATCCCAGGTAGATATGATCTGATTTCTGTGTTTCTATTCTCCAATAGCCTCTTGTCTTCCAATGCAGCTTAGGGGCTCACTCTCCAGTAGCCTTCTCCAGCAGAGCCTCGCCTTGCCCTGCTCCTCAGAGGGTGTCACAGGGAGCAGGGCTTCAGCCTACCCCCTCAACTCCAGCACTGGTTTGCTCCTATCATCACAGCCATGCCTTACATGTCTAAAACTGTTTACAGGTGAGCCCTCAGGTTGGGCTCATGCTGAGAACTGCCAGACCCTGGAGTGCCTGAGCATTAGTCCGACATTCAAGGGTCTAATATCTGAGTGAAGCTCCTTGTATTATTTCTATGAAGTCTGACTCTGGGAGGGAATGACGAAAAAATTTAAAGGAGATGGTGGTCAGCTTCTGGTGTAGGGAAAGACAAAGAGGCAGTTACAAACACTCCTTTGAAATGAGCAAAGACTGGAGGTGCAAATGAAGCAGATGCTGCTGGAGGAGACTGTAAGAACCAGGAACCAGCACAGGCTGTGACATCACAGACAGCAAAGCACTCATTGGTAGAGGCAGAGTTGAACCTGCAGCCTGGACTTCTCACGCTGGCAGACCAGAATCCTCAGCTTGCAGTGTCCTGGTCTTCAAAATATGCTGATACTACCATGGTCTCCAGGCTCCTGTGCTGTGTGGCCCTCTGCCTGCTAGCAGCAGGTGAGTCCTGGGCCCGGGTGGCGTGACTCTGGCTGAATCTCTAAGCTGTGTAATCATGTGTTCAACAGTGGATTGCCTCCTAAGACTTTTCTGAGTTCTATTCTTTTTCTTCACAGGCCCTTTGGACACAGCTGTTTCTCAGACTCCAAAATATCTCCTCACACAAGTCGGCAATAAAGCAACTATGAAATGTGAACAAGATCTGAATCATGAAGCTATGTACTGGTATAAGCAGGACTCTGAGAATTCGCTGAAGATTTTGTTTTCCTACAACAATAAGGTGCCCATTTTAAATGAAACAGGTTCAAATCGTTTCTCACCTGAGTCTCCAGACAAAGCACATTTAAACATTCATATCAAGGCCCTGAAGGCAGAAGACTCGGCTGTGTATCTCTGTGCCAGCAGTGTAGACACAGCCTTGCAAAGCCACTGCCTGCCTGTGCACAAACCTCATGTGCCCTCAGGAAACTGTGGGGACAGCATGCTCACTGCTCCCCAAGGCTCTGTTCCTCATTTCGTGGGTTGACTGGGAGAGTTTCTGGCTGTCTGAGCACTCCCATATTTTTGCACATCCCACTTACTTGCTAGAGTGGGTGCTCATGGTAAGGTCACTGAAGTAGCCAGGACTGCACAGTGGTCAGAACCACTGCCCATGCACTAGTGGTCTGCACTGTCAGAAGGAGCCATCGTTTATCTACCTCTGCTGGAAACATTGGTACTTATTAGATGTAACATGTGACTGAAAATACATTTCTTTAAAAATGTTGTAAAATCGAACGGAATTTCAGCTCATCAATAAATCTCATTTAGTAGAACAATATTTGGAAATGCTTGCCTTTCTTATTGAGAATTTTGAGAGAGTGAGGGGAAAAGCCCATGAAATAACCCTGTGAATGTGAACTGTTTCTTTTCAAGTCTGCCTCATCTCTGATTGACACTGTCGCTGAATGGTCATGAAGACAGAACGCAATCCATTGTTGGGTGTTCTGTGCACCTGGACAGGATGTGGCACACAGATCTCTGTGCTGTAGTTACCCATGGATAAGATGATGTCGCTGGGTTGTTTTTCAGGTACATGATCACAAGGAGTGTATGGGTGAGAAGAGAGAGTAACTGAGGGTGAAATACAATTCAGAAGACTTCTAAAACATTCTTCCTGACAGAGGACACCATGCTTTAGGCCAGGCTGTGGAAGAGACAGGCCTTTGGGTTGCATTCTTTTCTTGTAATGAATGCTAAGTTTATTGTGTCCTGGTTGATGGTAGGATTTGCCAGTATTTCAGTTTTGCATTCCCAGTTGAGCATCCCTGTCTTGTGCTCCTGTTATCAGTGATCATTGCTTTTTTTTTCTCCCCTTCGGGAGGAGGGTCTCCATGAAAGTTCTGCTTGGTTCCAGCCTCTCTCTGCTCCAACCTGGTCTGATTGACATTGTCTTCCAGCACTGCCATCTCACCAGTGTCTTCTGAAATCTCCCCTGGCTCTCCAGCCTTATTCCTTATCATGTATATAGCACCCCAGCTGAGGACCTAGTGCTGGAACTGAGGCTGCTTGAGTTGGAGCGGATGGACCACTCCATAGCCTGAAAAATTGGAGCCTTGGTCAGGGTACGTCCCACTGGCTCTGGTCCCTGAGCTCTGTGATCCCGAGGGTGCTAAGCCAACTGAACATAGAAGAACACGCTACTTGCTGATGTCAAATGTGGCACCTTCATTAGGCTGGACATTTGGCTGCCTGGTGAGGCCAGGGTACCCGCCATGCCTGCATGGCTCCCAGGCAGCAGGTACTGGGCAATTGTGGCCATAATTGCAGATAGTTCTGTGGAAAGGCCAAGACCATCCAATGCTCTGGCTCCTTAGGACCACAAGACTCCTGCCAGCTCATTCCAGACAGGAAATTGTCAGGCAACAAACCACAGTCCACACAGCTGTTAGAACATAGGCTCTGATGCTTGTTGTCACAATTCTAAGTAATGTGGCCAGACTTCTGACCCAGACAACACTGTTCCCAGGTTAGGACCTGAGCATTTGTGGCCAACATTCCAGTTTGAGCAGCCAGGCCATCAACCCAAGACCCCCGGACCCCTGCCTAGGCCAGTGGACTCCCAGGATGCAGGTGCTAGTGCATGACATAACCACGCTTGGCAACATGACAGGGAAAACAGTTTAGGATTGAGAGGTCTTCACCCACCTAAATGACCCACATACTTCCAGGACTTTCTTAAGAAGCACAGAGAGATAGATTTAGAAAGGAAATCATTTAATGTTTTGAAATCATGATTTATCCTGAATGAAATTATAGAAAGCATAATAAACTTGAGATAAGGGGAACTTCCAAGCCTTGACATGTAATGAACTCTAGATCAGTGCTGTTCCTGACAATAGAAGTTCATGGTTGAGATAACATAGTTAGGACTTTTATCTGGGGATCAGGACACCTGTCTTGGGTTCTGTGACCTTATTCGGACTTAACAGTCCAATAATGGATGGCATTTCTCACCATGTGGGTTTGTTACGTGTGTTCCCAAAACCCCATGGAACATAAGACACATGTTGGTGTTTGCCTATGATACTGGACTACCTTCCATCTGTTACAGAGTTGAATTCTAAATTTAGAATTACGTATTTCCAGGGAAACCATTCCTTAACACCTTGACGGCATTGGTGACGATGATAACCTGGAGGTATAAATATCTGGAGGTGAAAAGCCAGACACTATTCCCCAGTCCAGCTCCAATCAGCAACCATGAAGACCCTCATCTTCCTCGCTTTCCTGGGAGCTGCTGGTGAGTCTCTTCTGATTCATTTTTTCTGAGTGATTTTTGCTGAGTCTTTAATGAGTGAATCCATTAAGTGTCTATCATACGTGTGAGTTTTTTGTATTGATAGATGGCAAGTATGTCCTCAGGAAGTTTAAAATACTGAATCAACAACATAGAGCATAGTTTGAAAGATACTTAAAAATCTCAATTGTTGCTGTGAGTTCATAATGAGCAGATATGCTCAGAATAAGATACAAAGAAGCAGAACTTGCTATAAATTTCCAAGTGACGTCTAGGAAGGAAGAGAAAAAAGGAAAGGATAGTTTACATTGAGGACGTGCTCTTCCTGATTTTTCTAAGGATTTGGAACTAATAATGTGTTCTTTGTGGTGTCTTTCTTGAATGTCAAACCAGAGTCCTCTTAAAGGGATGATTGGAACCAAGACATATAAAAGCAGAGAAAGAGGGAGGGAGAGGAAGAGAGAAGTCATCTGTTGTTTCAAATTCCCATTATCTCCAAAGGGTAGGGTATCTGCTGAGGTATCCCGATATCTGCAAAGAGAAACCAGCACTCCAGAATTTTCTCTAGGTCTCCTGATGAAAACTGAAGGAATCCAGTTGCTTCAACCTTCACCTGCTGCTTCCTAGGGTATTCAGTATAGGACACCTGAATCAGGAGTAGAGAATGGGCATTCTGATGGGGGGTGAATGCCATAAGGTGCATCTTTAGTACTGCGGCAGATAGATGTATTTCATGAAATCTTGGCCAATGATGCTTTTCCTATACAAAACAACATATCATTCAATGACAACAAAACGAAATAATAAAGATACTCCTATTTGATATTATTTATGCACTATTAAAATTCTAAAATGTCCCAAAGTAATTGGGTACACATTCAGTATAGCTAACTATGCATTTAAAATATTCTTTCTAAAGCTATTTTTTAAAGTTTTATTTATTTTTATTGGAAAGGGAGATTTAAAGAAAGAAGAGGAGACAGAGAAAAGATTATTCATCTGCTGGTTCACTCTCCAAGTGACCACAACAGCTGCAGCTGAGCTGGCTGGAAGCCAATAGCCAGGAGCTTCTTCCGGTTCTACTGTTTGGATGTAGGGTCCTATGTTTTGGACCATTTTTTGCTGCTTTCTCGGGCAACAAGCAGGGATCTAATGGAAACTGGAGCAGCTTGGACACAAACTGGTCCCAAATGTAAACCTGGCACACGCAAAGCAGGAACTTAGCCATTGGGCCGTAACTCTGGGACCCTGAAATTATTTTTTTAAATACCTGAATAATGGGGAATGTAGAAAACTTTTGAGATGCATGAAATTATGATAAATCGTTGAACCCCACTATGCCATGTCATCTATGTTAATAAGGCTCAGAAATGAAGTTGAGTCAAATGTAAATTTTGAAGAAGGAAATAGTGAAATCCACTGTAAAATGTAGTAAAAATGTTAGCCTACAGTCATGAAGCGAGGTAGAAGTAATAAAATAACTCAATTCTTATTTCCTAGCAAGACAGAACAATTTCAGGTGGCTGCTAAAAAAAAAAAGCTTCCTTTCTCTGAAAGCTTCCTTTCTCTGACTTGCTGAGAATACCTAAGGCATGTCAACATCCCGATCAATTTCCACACACAGTACTGTGACTTCTACAAAGCTTCACTTTTCTTTGCTGCTCTGTGTCAAAGCGTTCTTTTTTTTTTAAGATTTATTTTACTTTTTTTTTTTTTTGCAAAGTCATATATACAGAGAGAGGAGAGACAGAAAGGAAGATCTTCTGTCCACTAAAATTCACTCCCCAAGTGGCTGCAATGGCAGAGGCTGAGCAGATTTGAAGTCATGAGCCCAGAGCCTCTTCCGGTCTTCCATGGGGGTGCAGGGTCCCAAGGATTTGGGCTGTCTATTCCCAGGCCACAGGCAGGGAGCTGGATGAGAAGTGGGGCTGCCGGGATTAAAACCGGCACCTATATGGGATCATGACGTCCGCAAGGTGAGGACCTTAGCTGCTAGGCTACCATGCTGGGCCCAACAGCGTTCTTTACAGACCCACTTGCTAGTAGTTGGGACACTAACTATGTAATAGATTTCAGATATTTTTATTTCTTTGCATGTATGTTAGTGTGCATTTATGGAATTATACATGCGCAAAAATCACATAGTTATGAGATTTAAAGTGTGAATTAAACGACTAGATACATAATAATAATGTAACTCTCGAAAAGCTATGTAACAATAGGTTTTCCAAGAATTACCTTAAGATGACCCTTACTGCTACTGTGAGAAAAGAAAACTTTGTACCTTTCAGGTTGATCAAAGAAAATAAATAAATAAAACGGGGTAATAAAAATTAGAAGATGAATTCATTTAACAAACACTTCTCTGAAATTCCTCCATCAGTCGCTTTCCCCACCAGCAGCGATGATGACGATGACAAGATCGTCGGGGGCTACACCTGCACAGCACACTCTGTGCCCTACCAGGTGTCCCTGAACTCTGGCTACCACTTCTGTGGGGGCTCCCTCATCAGCAGCCAGTGGGTGGTGTCTGCAGCTCATTGCTACAAGTCGTAAGTGATCAAGGCTCACACTCTTCTATTCAGAGATCAGCTGATTATATATATCAAAGCACTCTGGAGGGACTACTCTGGACATGCTGTTTGGAGATAAAGCACTCAGCTCGAAATGGAAAATGGCTATAGAGACACAAAAATGCACCCAGTTGCCAGATATTAAAAAATAGCATGACTCATTCCCCTCCTTCCCATTCTACCGTATGACTCATGCCTAACTCTTCTACCTGAGCCAGAGATCCCTACCACAGGAGAAATGGTGGGTCCTGATGAATTTACCAACTCCCCATTCATTCACAATGGGATGTGCAACAGTTCCCATACCTGTTCCTCACTATTCTAGTAAAACGGAGAGCCTTGAGTCTGTACATGTACTGGCATTTCTGTAAGATGTTCTCTTCATGCAGCTTAGTGGCAATACACTCGGTATGGATTGTGAATCAATAGCAGAAGAGAGTGGAATGCTCACATTGGTAGGGTTAGGGGAAGGAAAACAGGTGAATTGGATGCTTAACAAAACTTGAACCTTTTTATCCAGTTCCATCCAGGTGCGTCTGGGAGAACACAACATTAATGCCAATGATGGCTCTGAGCAATACATTAGCTCTTCCAAGGTCATCAAACATCCCTCGTACAGTTCATCCACACTGAACAACGACATCATGCTGATTAAACTGAGCAAGGCTGCCACCCTCAACTCCAAAGTGGCCACAGTCGCTCTACCAACCTCCTGTGCATCTGCGGGAACTCAGTGCCTTGTCTCTGGCTGGGGCAACACCCTGAGCAGTGGCAGTAAGTGTCTCCTGGAATAGAAATGCTGAGTCTTTGTGGAAGGCACGTGGATGGTCAGTTAGCTCCAACTGTCACTCATGATGAGATGCCCAGTGACTAATTTTGAGATCTTGAGAGACTTAAAATGCATGTGGATGAATAAAAGGGGGACATCTTCAATGATAACATACCAAATGCACATGCTAACAATGACCATGATAAAGATTTTAGGGACTATAACATAGACGGGGTGAGTGATAGGCAAAAATCCAAAGAGGTCAATAAGAGAGGTTAAGGGATGTGTGAGTAAAAGAGGTGCATTCCTGCATGAGAAATGAAGTCTCTAAGCTCCAGAACATGGGGAATCCATGTTGTCAAAGAAGCAACATGCTTATTGGAAACAGTTGAATTCATGACCCAGAAATTATTGGAACACTGAGAGAACAAGCAGAATACAAGACAATTGGGAGAGAAATTTCAAGGAGCCCTGTGTTAATTGTCTTCCACTTTCACTGTTGCCTTCCACAGCCAGCATGCCGTCTCTCCTGCAGTGTCTGAATGCACCCGTCCTCTCTGATTCCACTTGCAAGAGCTCCTACCCCAACCAGATCACTAGCAACATGTTCTGCTTGGGCTTCCTGGAGGGCGGAAAGGACTCCTGCCAGGTGAGTGTCAATCCTCCTCCCGCACCCAGGCTTGCTCTTCTCCACCTGAGTTTCCCTGTTCTGAAACACACAGGAATGTATGAGCATCCCTGGACTGATGGAGAGAGATGAGGTCCAGCTTTGGGTAAATCATAGGGTTTCTTTCTGTGACATTAATTGCTTGAGTCATTTGTAAAGTGAGACACAAACAATGCCATGAAAACTGTATATGCAGATATGGTCTGAGCCTTTGATGAAGGATATTATTGAAGGGAATCCTCCTCATAAGATGATCAGAGATGACTAGGTAGCACTGAAACAATCTTGGATTCCATCACCTTGACCTTCCAGATTCTACAAAGAGAAGTATACTACTGATGTAGTAGAGACAGAGATTTTATTTCCAGAGGGAAGGATGGTGTTCCATGAAGATCAGCAGCCGAGAAAACAGAAAGAACACCTACCACCCCATCCCCTATCTGACCATAAACAAGAGCACTGATTGTCTCTTCCCCTGCTCAGGGTGACTCTGGTGGCCCCGTGGTCTGCAATGGAAAACTCCAGGGTATTGTGTCCTGGGGCTATGGCTGTGCCCTGAAGAACAAGCCTGGAGTCTACACCAAGGTCTGCAACTACGTGAGCTGGATTCAGCAGACCATTGCTTCCAACTAAAATCCCTTTTACTCTCCACAGTCCACCCTGTTAGTTAACTTTTCTTTCCATGTCTGAAAATAGTAACTAAATAAAGACCTTTTTTCAGCACCACATTTGTTAAGAATGGTCCTTTGTTAGAAGTACTGAACTTGCTCTTGAACCTTGCTTCTGAGTGAAAAGGTGGACTCCTAAACTAGGATCCATCCTAAACTAAGCACTTCTGCAGTCTCCAAACTAGATGTTATCCTGAGACACATCTTACTGCTGTTGTAAGTCCAACAGTGTTTCAAGGAAGGGATTAGTACTGAAGCTTGTCAATTCTTGTTAAACACGATTGCTTCTGGGCCAACCGCAGTAGCCTAAGTAGCTAAAGTCCTCTCCTTGAATGCACCAGGATCCCATATGGGTGTCAGTTCCAAACCTGGTGGCTCCACTTCCTGTCCAGCTCCCTGTTTGTGGCCTGGGAAAAGTAGCAGGGGATGGCCCAAAGATTTGGGACTCTGCACCCATGTGAGGGAGACTCGGAAGAAGATCCTGATTCCTGGCTTTGGATCAGCTCAGCTCTGGGTGTAGCGGCACTTGGGGAGTTAACCAATGGATGGAAGATCTTCCTCTCTGTCTACTTCTCTCTCTCTCTCTGTCTCTCTCTCTCTCTCTATATATATATGTGTGTGTGTGTGTATCTGACTTTGCAATAAAATAAATAAATAAAAAAGAAAAGAAAAAAAGCTAACTTCTGTGCTCAACTAAGAGTCCCTGAACCACACGAGAGACCGGAAAGAAACCTTTAGACCAGCCAGTTCCAGCCACTTTGGCCTTTAATGGAGTGAAATAGCTGACTTAAGATTGATCTATCTATATATCTATCTATCATCTATCTCCATCTCTTTTGTCTTTCCCCCATCTCTCTGACTCTGGTTTTCAAATAATTTTTTTTTAAAGAAATGTCCTTTTCTTTTTTGTCATGGGTTGTTTCAATGATAAATAATGTTACAGAGGATAAGCACTGTCCTTGGGAATCCAAATGCCTCCCTGCTCTGAGAATTCTCCTGCCTCAAACTTTGCCCCTTATTCTCTCTGTGTGTGTGTGTGTGTGTGTGTGTGTGTGTGTGTGTGTGTCTGTGTGTGTGTGTTCCCAATGCTTTATTGGTGGACTAGAGACAGCTGACTTACTAGGGAGTAATATACCTCTGTGACCCATAGGAGGAGCTGTGGCTTTGCCAAAGCTCCTGAAGTCATAAAGGGTAAGCCATAGAAAGGTGGGAGAATCAAGAGGAAATAAAATGCTCCATCGTTAGCGTTTGTTTCTTAATTCTGGTTGGGAGTTGTGGGAACAACCTGAAGACACTAAATGCATTCCATATCGAGCTTCACTCCCCAAATGCTGGCAACAACAGGGGTTGGACTGAGCTAGAAATTCTACCTAGGTCTCCTAGGTGTATGACAGGAGCTCCAATACTTGAGCCATCATCCGTGGCCTCCTAACTGAATAAGAAAGAATCTGGATTGGAAGCTGAATTGCGAGGGTTTTAATAGGTTCTTCCAAATAGAGTGCTGGTAACCTATTAATCCCTTACCCAGGCTCCTAAATTACTGTATCATAAAATAATGCCTGGGGACTGACATTGAAGAGCAGCTTCCAATGCTTACACCTCATATTGGAGTCTAGCAGTGCTGCTTCCAATCCAGTCTCTTGCGAATACACCCTGGAAAGCTCAGGTCCTGTGCTCTTGCCACCCACCTGAGAGTAGAGGCTGGAGGTCCAGGCTCCTGGCTTCACTCTGGAACAGTCCTGGCTGGCTATTAGGGGCATTAGGAGAGTAAATTAACAGATGGGAGTCTTCCCTCCCCCTTCCCACCCCCCCTTCTCTCCCCCTTCTTCTCTCGCTTTCATCACTGTAATTTCCACTCTTGCTCTCACTCTCTATTTCCCCCACTTTTTCAAATAAAGGAATTAATAAACATTTTAAAGATGTTAACCAGCTTACTCCATAGAAGGGCTCTGATTGCTTGGGAATGCTGCCCTTTCTGATTAATCAGCATGGGGCAGACGTTGGAGTGTCCTTATCCAGGCTCCAGGGGAGGCAGAGAGGAAACTGTGAGTGAGGGTAGGAGAACTATAGACTACAAAGTGGAAAAAGAGATGCAGCTACTCATTGTAGGGCAGGAGTTACTTGCAGAAGAGCTAGCTGTGTGAAGAACTCCTGTGGCAGGCAGGTCTGGGATGTGCTCATTCTTGGGAACATACACAGGCATGCTCAACTAGACAGGACAGTCCAACAGTCCAAGCCCAACTTGGGAGGTGCTAGGGTGCAAATCAGGAAAAGAAAAGAGGAAGTGTGAGCTGTGGAAATCAACGAGAGCTGAAACAATCCAAAAAACCCTCTGTGAGGGCCAGGGAGCCACACCCGCCTAGCTAGTAGACTGAGGCAGATGCAAGGGCCTCCTTGTGCATGGTGTTGCCATGGGCTCCAGGGCCTTCTGCTGTGTGGTTGTTTGTCTCCTGGGCAGGTAAGTCTTGTGAAGATGAAGCATGTCTATCTTTGAGCTTCTACCTTTTTTCAAGGAACCGCTTCCTGGACTGACTTTAGATTTGGCTCCTTACTTCTAATCCCCATAGGCCCTGTAGGCATTGGAATTATCCAGATACCAAGAGAGCTTGTCACAGAGAGGACCAATAAAAGAATCCTGAAATACGAACCACTCCTCTGTCATAATGCCATGGATTTGGTGTAGACAGAATTCTAAAGAATGATGAGAATTCATGCTCATCTACAGTTTTGGGGATTCCTTGAAAATGCAATGGCTCTAAAACCCGTCACACCTGACTGTCCTGACAGCTCCCATATCTATTTTCACATGGATTCTTTAGAGCCAGGGGACTTGACCATGTCTCTTGACACTGCCCCCAAAAGCCTAGGCCTGGAGTCATTTGGTTCCTGTGCACAGTCCTCTGCACCTCAACAGGAAGCTGTATGAGAAACACATTCCCTTGAATCCCCAGATTATAGGATCTCTAATACCTCAACAGAAACGTCAAGACCTGTTGGTCCATTGAACAAAGTAATGTTAATCTCCATACCCAGCTATCAGCAGCCTGTGTCTTGGCATTGACTTGAACAAGAGCAGACGTGAATTTGAATAAAGGACACACACTTTTCAATTAAAATTGTTCTGAATGTCTTCTGTCCTTGGGAATTGCTTAACACTTTGGCCACATGTATCTTCCTTCCAATTGCTGTCTCTTTCTAATTTCTTTTTCTGTTAAAGTTAGAGTCTGGACCCCAGCTTTCATGCCAGCTCCAGTGTGCTCAGAATTTTCTGAAAACATGCATCCCCTCGGTGTGCAGTCCTGTCAGCTCCAGTCACTAATAATGCTTGATCCATATGGGCAGATTCACTGTCTTCTGGTCTACTCTTCCCAATGCATATTCAAGGTCTCAGTTCTGACTTCCAGTTGGGCTTGACTCCTCTCATGCTTGATTTTTGTTCTTGCTAATTCTTTATATCTTACATTAAACTATATAGAACGTTGCTTACCGCAAGCGAGAGAAGTGACTGCTGATATTTCTGAGCAGGAGTGGATACTTGCATTGTTCCTTTACGATGGCATTTGTCCTGCACACACATCCAACTCCATAGGCTAAGAGGATCTCTGAACTGTAAGGACTTGGGCATCCACGCCAATACAAAGCATCCCTCTTCTCTCCTCTAGATGGTGCTCCAGGAAACAAGGGTGAAGGCAGAGACATCTATAAGTACAGCCTGCGGGAGGAACTGCAGGGGCCCAGAAAGCCTCTCCTATGTTTCTGATTAGCAGAGAATTGTTCAAGAAGAGTTTTGATACCTGCTGTGACCTTGCCATGGATACCTGGCTCTTATGGGGAACAATTTTTACTCTCCTGAAAGCAGGTAGAGCCTTAGAATTTTAGGAAATTCTTGTCTGCCATTTACCTAAGATGATTCAAAACCTTTCCTTTAAATGGCTTTCTCTTCCCACAGGACATACAGAACCAGGAGTGACACAGACCCCCAGCCACCAGATCATGAAGAAGGGACAGGAAGTGACCTTTAGGTGTGATCCCATTCCTAACCACTTATACTTTTATTGGTACCGACAGATCTTGGGACAAAAAATGGACTTTCTGGTTTCCTTCTATAATGATGAACCCTCGGAGAAGTCTGAAATATTCAATGATCGATTCACAATTGAGAGGCCTAGTGGATCATATTTAATCCTGAAGATCCAGCCCACACAGCTGGAGGACTCAGCTGTGTACCTCTGTGCCAGCAGCTTAACCACAGCCTGGTAAAAAGATTGCCTGCCTGTGCACAAACACTCAACGTGCTTGCCTCTCTCCCAGCTACCAGCACCCCTTCCTGTCCCAGAGAAGGAAATCTGGTTGGGTTCATATTTTCTATCTTTAAATAGACAGATATCTGAAATTAAATGACCAGGTAGGATATCTTGAGCAGAATGGCCATGCGCTGTGGGATTTACAGATTTTTATGCAGACATCACAGGTTATCAGTGTTGGGTCCAAAGATGGAGCAATAGTTGGAGATGTGATCTCAGATATGCCAGTGGATGTTACGAACTGGCCCAGACTAATCTGTCCCCAGATCTGATGCACACACATGCTGGCAGTTACTGTAACCTGGTGTGGTCTGTGCTGCTCCTTGCTTTGATTCTTGCATTCACCTGCAGGGACTGTGTCCCAGTGAAGGAGTTTCCAAAGCTCCACTCTCAGGTTTCCACCCAGTGGCAGATCTCGTGCAAACCAGTGGGTCCTTGGCTCAGGCTGATTTTGTCCACCTCTTGTCCTGGCAGGAACAGTGGCCTTGCTCAAGTGGCCCATACCCATTCTGGTTCTTACTGTTAGGTGTTGCATCCAAGTCACACCTGGTTCACGCCCATACACAGCGTTCACATGGCTCAGCAGGAGTCAAGACCTAGCCCAATCTATTCTACACCCTATCTGGCTCTCACAAGTACCAGTGGGTACTGGAGTCTAGCC